ACACGCAGACAACCTCTCGTCAATATGCGTTTTTCGCATTGCATTGCTGCAAAAAACGCATAAAAACAATGTACGCCCACAAGAACTGGGCATTAAGCATGTAGCATTTTCGAAGGGCAGCAAATGGGCGGAGTAGATTATTGGATGGTAGCTCCATAGCGCTAAAGGAGTGCGGGGAAGCACGGCAAAAGGATTCACTTCAAAACTTGCCTGCAAGCCAGTACAGAATGAAGAAGTTTTTAGCTGCATCAATGGCGAAAAGAAACGCGACAAGGAAGCAAAGTAGGAATTAATCATAAGCTACCTGGGTCTGGCAAAACACCATTAAAACAAGCGAACTGCGCAGATGATTTTTTGAATGTCAAATTTTTGCAGTCAGTCGCGGAAGTCATACAGCATAAATTCTTTCGTATTTCCAAACACAGGTTCTGTGTTTCTCAGTAATCTATTAGGTGTTTCTCAGCCAAAGCGTTCGCACTAATACTTGACCCTAGCAGCGGACGCTTTTGCAAGCCAGTAGGTTGAATCAGTTACTAGCACAACCCGAGTTGCTTAGATCTTCCGTATCTGTCGGCACGTTTGGAGCTTTTATGTATTGTCGAGGTACCAAAAAAGCAATTCAAAACAATGAACCGTAATTACTCCAGATAATGAGTTGGTCGGACATATCATTAGCCCGTTGACCATAAATTTCTCTAAAAAAGAATCGTCACCAAATATTGTAGTTGCACAGCTAAATCAATTTTTTTCTCACCAGCTAAAATAAAATGTTTTTAAATATTTCGATCCTGAGTGTAGCATTTTTTGACGATTCTTTCCGTATTTTAGCGTGATCTTAAATTTTTAAGCTGGATCTAATGTATTCAGACCAAAACTCTATCTCTGTTTGACAATGTTTTGCAGTAGTCTGGTAAAATTTTGAAGCCACTGCGCATTTATTAAAATTTTGTTTTTCCGGCAAATCCTTCGTAAAACATGAAGCTTCCTTGGACAGCTTTTATGCATCTTTGGCGAACACAGCTTTTATTTGACTCAATAATTTTCTTTCACCATACGAAAGACTTTTTTTTAGAACAAAAAGGAAAAGGAAAAAGCAATTTTGTTTGCCTTCACGCTCCATTCATTCTAGATACGGAATTAAGCATCAAAATCGTTGGGTTGCTGCTCGGATTCCCCAATGAACTCGCAAAGCTTTTATTAGGCTTTTCGGTTCTTAACTTCATAGCTTTAGTAAGTGTTATCTGTCATTGCAGGTGCACCACAATTTTGGAAAAAACCCGAGTGACCGTTTACTTGCAAGTACCACCCATTAATATGCAATGTCCACCGGTTATCAGTGAAGTGAACAACATGCCTAGTTCATCAAATTTTCTTGCATTGCTGCAGTGATATCCCCTGGCGGAGTTATTGTTTGTTTACATCGTGACGAGAAGACATCCCAAGCTGTTACTGAGAAATAACTTCGAAATCCTGCTTACTCCCTCAGCTGTTTTCACTGATGTTTACAGCCTTTCCGCTAACGAAATCAAACGACAGTCCTTACTGGAGACATAGGTTGTTTTAATTCCCGCTCCCTGTCCTCAAATGACTTATCAAGGGATGATGTCTTCCAGAAGCAGCTGTTAACATTGGAAACTGTATTTTACCGGTCTCACTCCGTCGAAGACCCTTGAAAAATTCACTTATCGTTTTACCTGGTAGGCCTGAAAATACATTCTACAGCGACTCTTCCTTTCTGATCATTGTCGGTATTCAAATCGTGGACAACATCCAATGCTTGCATGCCAAATTGTATCATTTTAAGATCTTTGTGGGCGATACCCTTTTCGCTTTCGTGATAGCTTCTAGAATGGCCACAGCCCATATTTTCTGCAAAACGCTTCTACGATGAGGATCAGCAACAGTGATCCGAAGCTAAACTCTTAGTGGTAGCACGGAAGCGTTCACGAAACCAACCAAGCATCTAGCATACTACGCAGTTTAATGAATGTTGTAGTAAAGCATCACATAATACTCTAAAACACATATTAAGTATGGGATTTTTATGTAAAATTCCTATCCATTAAAGACGGCCACTATTTAAACCATGAAACAAATTTGATTAAATTACCATTCTGCTTGGCGCTTTGCTGATCAAGTTGAATCAACACCATGGCCAGCGCATATGTCCGTTTAAAACGTTATTTTATGCCAAACTACCACCAGCCATCAAAGTCCCATATAGACATGCTGTCAACAGAGCTCCACCTGCACAGTATCGATTTAGCAAATTCCACTAGGCAGAAATTCGGAAATTTTGAATGAGCCCTCTTAACAGATACAATCACAACTAGCTCAATCGGTGGAAGATGAACAGGAGTCGAACTGTGAACTTATCAGCAGAATTTTTCTACCGAAACTCAGAATTTTTAATCCATATTCTACTTTATTATAAGAATAGAGTACCAACGTCGTTGTGCGACTGAGGTACAGGCGGAGATGCAGTGAGTATAGCAGCTGCTAAAACCAAGACAGTCACCTAGCATCATGCTCTTGTAAAATTACAGTGGTCTGTCTCGAATTCAACTCAAATTCATAGAATAATACATTAAAAAAATCGAATGCCTTAAAAAACCATTTATTCTACACTGTGCAGCGAACAAATCATCAAAATTTCTTGCTTAGATCGGTGCTCGTTCTTGAGATGCAAAACTGGCCGGTCTTTGAAGTTGAATTTAAAGACTACATGACAAAAAGAAACCCGATTTTAAGCACTTATCCGACAATACGGCAAAAAAATCTGATACGAAATTTTCAACCTACTAGTTTACGCAGCTGCTAAGTGAATCACTCAGACACACAGAAGCACACGTTTTCGACATAATGTCTTTTTTTTCATGCAAAAGGACACGAAAGCAACAATGTTGTGGTGTTTTTAAAAATAAA